AAGATCCTGTACCTTTAAATGAACCTTCTACAAGGCTGATGGATTAGGATATCAATGATTGTGGAGAGTTTGGAATGTTGTAAGTCCAGAGAAAGATTATCTCTGGCATCTTTTGCCCTCTAAATAGACATCTATTGTCCTCCTCTGTACCAGACTTAGTATCTTTATAACCATTAGAAAATCATCTGGGACGCAGAGTGCTAGTTTTCCTTTGGAATGCATAAACAGAGCACTAGTTTTTTAACCAAGCAAAAAGTAAAGGATATTCTCAGATAGCATCTGAAGGCTTTCACCTGCCTATTGGATGTTTCCATCAATGTGCTTTAATGTCCTGATTTATTATTTTCTTTGCTCTGCTACTAGAAAAAAAAAAACTGCTTCCACATTGTAACATGGTGTTTGGGGTAACCTAAATCTGTGTTCTTGGGCCATGCTCACCCACTTTTGGCTCCAGAATAAACTATCTCTTATCTTTTTTGTGTAGTGAGAGTTGTTGACAATTTGGATTAAAATATTCTACAAAAGTAGTGTGTTGAAGGCTTAGTCACCAATGAAACAGTGTTCATAGATAAGACCCTAAGGAACTGATTGTACCACGAATACTCTAACCCCTTCAGTGGATTCCTATTCTCTGAGATTCATAGCTAAATAGCCCATGGGTGGTAATTAGGGACTTTAGGAGGTGGGGAGAAGTTGGAGGAAGTAGCCCACTGTGGGTGAATCTCTGAAGAGTATTTTTGTTTGTGCTCTCTCTCACCTTCCTCTCCTCCTCCCACTTCCTCTGCTCTTCACCACCTCCCCTTCCTTCCTGACCACCGTGTCTTGGTCCATCATATGTGCTCCCCATCAAAGTGCCCTTCCTATATTACCTCAGGAATAGAAACAACAGAAGCAAATGGCTAAGGACTAAATCACTTGAAACCGTGAACCAACATAATACATTTCTTCATTTTCTTAGATATTTTTGTCACAGGAACAATAACTTAACATAACTGGAATTATTTTGATAAGTTAATATAAAACATAAAGCAATCACTAAAACACACACACAGCTTGTAGGTTCAACTCTTTCAACATTGACTAGAAATCTGGGCACTGCACACTTATTCTTTTTCCCCCAGAAGAGTGCTTAATTCTGTTTCTTTGGGTAAAACTCCTGCCTCTGTACTGGTCTCAGCCTAATCCAGTCAAGAGTCCATAGCAGCAGCCAAGGAAACCAAATGCTCTGCCTATCCCTGGAAGAACTTCCTAAATAAAGAAAAAGTAAGACAACACTGTGGTTGAGTAGGTACAGGGGACAAAAAGTTAGTCCCAATGTCCCTATCCCATTCATGTTGGAAGAAAGTGGTTTTAGTAGGAGGGGCAAGTGCATCAGTATGTTTGTCATTATCAAAGAAATGTGAATCAAAAGTACTCTAAGACACCATCTCATTTTAGTAAGAATGGTCACCATAAAAAAAATGACATCAAATGCTGGCAAAGATGTGGAAGGAAAGGAACGCTTATACACTGCTAAGTAAACTGGTGCAGTAACTAAGGAAATCAGTGCATAACTTCCTCAAAAAGCTAAAAATAGAACTACCATATGACTGAAATAAACTGACCCTAGGAATACACTTAAAAGATTCAGTCAGTTTTCAATAGAGACATCTGCAAATCCATATTTGTATTGTTTTATTCTCAAAGCCAACTTGTAAAATTAGTCTAGTTATCCATTAATACATGAATGGAGGAAGAAAATGTGCTATATATAGGCAATGGAGTTTTATTTAGTCATAAAGAAAGAAATCAGCTGGGTGTAGTGTCACATGCCTGTAATCCCAGCACTTGGGGAGGCAGAGGCAGACAGATTTCTGTGAGTTAAAGGTCAGCCCGCTCTACAAAGCAAGTCCAGGACAGCAAAGGCTACACAAAGAAACCCTATCTTGGAAAACAAAATAATGATGATGATGATGATGATGGTGATGATGATGATGATAATGATGATGATGAAATCATGTCATTTTCTGGAATGTGAGCATAAATGGAAATCATCACATTATGTGACATAAGCTAACCTCACTAAGAGAATGATTTCCCTATGTGAAATTTAGGATAAGGTAGTAAAAGTAGAACTCATGGAAATGTGAAATGGGGGAGGAAAGAGAAGGGAAGAAGAATAAGAAAGAATAATGTAGGGAATAAATATTATCAAAATACATTATTTGCACATATAGGAATATCATCATGAAACTCATTGTTGTGTTCAATAATATATGCTAATAGGGAGAATATGGAGAAATCTGGATGGAGCTTGAGGGGAGGAATGAATATGATTGAAATACATTCTATGCATAAATGGAATTTTCAAAGAATAAAAATATTACATCTTATATATGCTAATAAAAAGTAGGTGTTTTGTTTCCTTGGACTGCCTTTATAAAATGCTAAAGCTTTGTGGTGTGTCTTAAACAACAGGTTTTGATTTTCTTACATTTGGGAATGGGAAAATCTAAGATCAAGATTCTGACCAGGCTGGTTTCTTATAAGGTGTCTCTTTCCAACTCCAAGAAGGCTAGAGGCCTTCTTGCTGTATCCTCAGTGTACTCACATGGCTTTTTAAAGGGCCTGGCGCATGCTAAGCACTATCTCTACTACTGAGTACACCTTTAGCCCCTTGTTTTAGTTTTATTTCGTGTTGCTGAGAAAAACAAAACAAACAAACAAACAAAAAACCTAACCCTGACCAAAAGGAACTTGGGAAGCAAAGGGTTTATTTGCTTTACACTTCCATGTCATGGTCCATCATTGTAGGAAATCAAGGTCAGAACCTAAAAGCAGGCCTACTTGCTATTTCATGCAGAATTTTCTCCTCCTAAGGAACTCACTCAAATCAATGAACTACAGTAGAATCCATAAAGGAATGCTGTTTGGTAGCTTGCTCATAGGCTCATGCGTTTTTATACAGCTCTACAGTTCAGGCCCACCTGCCCAGGGAATGGTGCTGCCAACAGTTGTCTGGGCCCTCCTTCATAAACTTATGAGCAAGATAATCCCCTACAGACATGCCCACAGGCCAGTCTGATCTGGCAAAATCTTCATCAAATAAGACTCACTTCTCAGGCTACTCCAGGCTGTATCATGTTGACATTTAAAGCTTGTTGCACTCTTTATAAGCCTTACTTTATTTAGGGTTTTTAAAAGCCTCTCCCGTCTAAATTACCAACCCTAGGTAGGAGAAAGAGGTTAGTGGGGAAAGAGGGCACAAACCCCTTTACTCTTCCTGGCTGTTTAGGGCCAGTGGGTTCTTCCAAAGCTATATCAATTCTCTGTCAACATCAAATGCAACAAGCAGTCTTGATCAAGCTGCTGCCTCCAAGCAATCACAATGTCTTTGTCTGATCTCACCAAACTGCCACTCACCACAGACCACATTTTCTCTCTCCCAGCTCTCCTATTTATATCCTCAGAGCCCTAGACCATCACCTTGTCTGTGTTGCATGAGGCAGGCCCTTACCAGCTGGCAAAGACCACATAAGGCAGTTAACAGCTGTGGACAAACTATAGCCAATCTAAAATCCCACACTTGGAATTAAAACAAAAACATATTTACATAACATAACTGAGTTTTTAAGGAAAACAAAACTTCCATTACAAAAGCTAAGACACTCTGTGTGTTTTTTTTGTTTTCTAGGTGTATGCATATGAGAACACAAGATTAAGCATGTGGTGTTCTTCATGATGATACTAACTTATTTTGACCAGGGCCTTTTGCCTTCAGGACCAAAAAAAGCACCCAAAGTCCCCATCATCATATACCAGAAAGTTACCAAGCCAACCTGGAAATAGGAAGAAAATGTGGCCACTCGATACTTAACAGTGCATGCTTATTGTTGTAAGACTTGGCGAATGGAGAAAGATTGCAGCATGTTTGAAGCCAGTATGGTTTACACAGTGAATTCCAGGCCAACAGTAGCTATAGTGAGACCTTGTCAAACAAACTAAACAAAAAAAAAAAAAATTGAAATGTAGGCACTTGAAGATGATTTTCTACTGTGTCTGAAGATGTCGCTTTATCCCTGATTACCACTTCTTGGATGTAAGATGGTTGCTAGAACTGGCATGGACATAGGTTACTGTATGCCCAGGTCTGTCTTTAATCAGGGAGCCAAGTACTCCTTAGTCAGAGGTATCCTGTTCATTTCTAATGCACCCATAGGCAAAATGCTCTTGATCAGGTACCCATGTACAACAAAATCAAGCAGAGCCAAGAGAGAAATTCTTGGTACAGGAACCAAAGCAAAATGAACAGGATAATAAGTCTATCCTAGGAAATGAATGTCCTAGATTTATCAGATATTGGCTTGATTTTCATAGTGATGATTTGCATAACAGAAGTTAAATGTTAAACTTAACATAAACCAAGGGCGGATGTTCTGAGGGCGTCTTTGGAGCATGTGGTTGTCCTACAGATGGCTGGGAGGTGGAGATGTGGAGTAGGAGTGGGGGAGAGTAGGGTAGAGAGAAGAACAGAATGGGAATTGCAAAAAAAAAGTGAAAAAAAAAAACCCATGGAATTGTTTATGCTTTAAGATGTCTAGCATGACCCCAGGATGTTCCCACCCAGAAACTTTCCTGGAACCCAAAACTGAGAAGGAAAAAAAAAAAGTTTTCAGATAGAGAACTTCCTCGGCACTTCATTATTATTTTATTTTTTTAAGTCCACAATGTACCCGGTTTGTTTGCAGAGGAAAGCACCTGTCATGCACAACCACTTAGCAGTTTCCAAACCTCAGAGGTTGTAGTGTGTGTGTGTCTGTTGGGGTGTTAGGGTGTCGGGGGTGTTCTGTGGTGGCCAACTTCAGGTTCCTGTGACAGGAATGTGGGCAGGCAGCTGTAGTAGGACAGTGTGAACCCGGGCGTCACGCGCCGCCCTTCCTGCATCGACCCCGCCCCGCGCGCGTGGCCTTGTGGGTAACGCGGGCCCGCCAGGTGCCAGCTAATGGCGGCCGACTCCTGAAGCTAGTGGCTAAGCGGGAGCAGGGCGGCAGGGGGCGCATCGCGGAGCCTGGCTGGCCTCCGCTGTACTCTGGACTGCAGCTCACCGGAGTCTCCGGGCTTGACGCGACATGGACAGGCCAGTGACAGCGGCGGCTGCTGCGGCAGCTGGCTGTGAGGGCTCTGGGGGCCCGGGGCCAGGGCCGGCAGCTGGGTGGAGACCCGCTCGGGTTGCTGGGGGCGGCTCGGCCGGCTCCCGACACCCCAGCATGGAGACCCTGGACAGGTAAGTAGGGCCCTGGACGCCACAGCCTCTCGGTGCCTAGCTTAAGGCCAGGCGTCCTCTCCAGGTTCCCAGTCCGAAGCCGAGGCGGGGGTTGGGCGGCCCCTTCACAGCCACCTCTCGCCTCTCGTCCACGTCTCGGGCCACTGCTCTAGGACCTGCCCGGGGTTGGGCACCTGCTCACTTCCGCCCAGTGAGCCCCATAGCTCTTTGCTTCAGAGCTGTCAAACCCGCACTAGTGCCTACTGCTCCTCAAGGATCCCTTTTCTGTGCCTGGCCGGGGCCAACGATCCTCTCAAGGGAAATGTCGCCTGGCTTCTTTTTAGCGTCCCCTTCTTGTCTAAATCGTGTGATTTTAAGATCCAGTTCAGCTGCTGCTGTTTGGGGTGGAGACTAGGAGATGAGACTCCATAGGCCCCAAATCTGTAGCAGATCGTGATAAAGATACACAGATTTGAAAAACTGAGATGGACCGCTTCCATAATGCTCATGAAGCAGGAATATAGTTACGTACTTTCAGTTCTTTACACTTTAAAGTACACAGTTCCTTTTTTTTCTTGGTTCTACAAGTCCTACTTCTGAGGAAGATTTAAATAAGTCAGTTCAAGGCATACCTGACATGTCCAACTGAGAAAGGCCACCACCCAGTCGGGTAATGACAACAGATGGCTGGAACATCCAGTTTCCCCACTTAGACACTTGGGCAACAGACAGTTGTATTGTAGCTCAGTGGGTTGCAGCTGTTTATGCCTGCCTGTCTTAGTCATTTCAGTGCTCTGAACTTTTAAGAGTTTCCAAAGACAAGCAACAAACAACATGCTCTCACCTTGTATCTGAGTGTAATTACAGTATATTTTAATACATTAATCACTGAGTAAAAGCCTTCACTAAAAACTAACCACAGCTAAGACATCCCTTGTAACCATGAGCACTTCACTCATCGGAAAGTATCCAGCAACACATGAGTTCTTGTCTATTCACAAAATGCCATGCTATAACTTTATGGCTCTAAGGCTGATAATTGAAATTACATGTGTTAAGTGCAATTTATTGATAAACACCGAACAACAATAAACCCACCCCTTTCTTGAAGCAGCACAATCAATTTTAAGCCACAAAGGAGATATTTTGATTCACAAACCTCTCCAGAGAGGAAGAAATGAGAGTAGGCACAATTGGAGCCAAAGATTACATTTGAAGCAGTATTGTTAGGGCTTCCTATCTCTTGTGCTTGTGTCTTTTAAAAAATCTGATCTGATTTATCCTGTGTGTTCTTCAAAGTGATAGGAATAGGCTTCTGGAGAAAAGCCCTATGGTAGATCCATACAGCAAGGATCCAAAAGGAGTCCTGGGACTACCTGGGCAATCCATGTACAAATGAGGACAGGAAGAGGTGGGTCAACCTCAGGAAGCAATGGATTGCAAGTCTGCAAAGTAAAGAGAAGTGTCTTTATGGGAAGAAGGTAGGGCATGATCTAGTCAGCAGTTGATTTCCTCTAGTTGATTTTATGTATCTGTATTCAGGGATGGGTACTGCTGGTAAAAATAGGACAAAAAGGAAACACTCCACTCAAGGGACAAAACCAGGATTGCTGCATATACCAGACCAATATAGTGGTAAATATAGTGAGTTCCAGCCAGCCTTCACTGCAGAATAAGGCTGTCTCAAAAAAAAGAAGAGCAGGCAGTAAAGGAGACTAACCCAGTGCACGGGCATTTTGGTGAGTTTGAGACCAGTCTGGTCTATAGAACAAAGCTCTGGGACATCCAGGACTACATAACTACATAGAGAGAACCTGTTTCAACACACACACACACACACACATACACACACAGATTAAATGTCTCTCCCCTTTCCTGTCCCTTAGAAATTGTGATCCAATTCTAAATTCTACTAGGATCATAGAATCTTAATATATCATAGAAATTTGTACTTATTTAGCAAATATTTTAAATATATTTTCAACCACAAAGACTAGAACACCTTAATCAGAGATTAGGTGTTCTGTCCTTCAAACACAGTAGTGTGAATGTAATTGGCAATGTTTTTGTTTTGTTTCAAGATGACATCTAACTTCATGGTAAAAGGTCCTAAGTGTTTTGCTTCCTTTGATTTTTCCCCTGTTCTGAGAGATCTGGAGAGGAGCCTGGCTCCTGAGGGCAAGTTTTAAAGCTCTCACTGCTTAGTTTGCCTACAGAGTCTGTTAGGTCAGGTGAGCACATGGTCACCAGTCATGTGACCATGGGTAAAACTAGAAGTTCAGTTTTCTTTTCTATAAAATGGGTTACTGGGTAGCAAGGTAAGGCTGCATTTTAGACTACCAGAGGGTTCTATTTCCTTTGCACTATTGTGTTTTCATATTGAGACAGTGTCTGAGCATCTGTGGTATTGCCTTTAGCTCACTGTATGTATAGATGTTATCCAATGAGTCCAGAAAAGAACATTGGATCCTTTGGGACTGGAGTTACAGAAAGTTGTGAACTGCCACATGAACAATGGGAATATGAACCTGGGTCCTCTAAAGAGGTGCCAAATGCTCTTAATCACTGAGCCATTTCTCCAGCCCCAATACCTACAATCTTAAGTTTTTTAAAGAAGGTTGATTGATTCATCTAGAACTAACCTGGAACCTGACCTTATTCTCTGTTTTGTTTATTATTAATTCTTATATTAATTAGAAAGTAGCCAACCAAATAGTTTAAGACATTGTGGGGCATATCTGTAATTTCAGCACTTGGGAGGTAGAGGCTGGAGGATGGAGAGTTCAAGGCTAACCTCAGCTGAACAGTAAGTTGAGGCCAGCCTACTCTGCACATGAGACACTGTTTTAAAAAATAATATGTATAACTAAATATTCCTACCCAGGACACATTTTTCTCATTAGGAGCCTGTGTTTAACGATTTTTAACTACATTATTTCTTTTAGTCCTACAGGGTCACATGTTGAATGGTGTAAACAGCTTATAGCTGCTACAATTTCTAGTCAGATTTCAGGTTCAGTCACATCAGAAAATGTGTCCAGAGATTACAAGGTAAGTGACGTGGAGTGTTTAATTCATTATTGATGTTTAAGTAGCCAAGAAGCTTTTTATTTTTAATTCACATGAACATTTAACCTCTGGGTGTTTAATTGCCTTTTGGGGATGGTGAGGACAACGGTTTTCTGGTGTTCAATCTGAAATAAAGAGGGAATATATACCTATTTCTTTTGTTTGTAGTTACAGTTTTGTAATTGACAGGAAAAAACTATCCTAAGATTTTGATCAAATTTTAAAAAATCAATCTCTATCTTATGAGAAAGGTGTAGTTGGTGTAATGATGCACGCTTGTGATACCAACACTTATTTATAAGTCAGTTTGAGGCCAGCCTATTGTCTACAGAGAGCCTTCAAGGCCAGGGTAGGTTACAGAGTGAGAATCCCATCTAACATCAGGCAAACAAAAACATGTTTGCTTCCTTTGTTACTATTTTGTATAGAAGTCATACTGAGATGGACAGTACTTTGCAGGCATGCTTCTGTATTTGGGTATTGCATTTGAGTATTCATCGTTAGCATGGATACTACAATTTTAAACCATTTACAGAGCTCAAAATGGGGCAGCTTTGTTTTTTGAGTCCTTACTGGAGTGAGTAACTTGTTTTGTTTTAAAAGTTGGATTCTCTGCAGAGCCTAAGGTTAAGTGTGAGATGCTTTTTGTTGATATAGACTGATTTCTATGTCTTAGATCTTAATATATACTCAATAAATAGTTATTGAATGAATCTCCAAGCAAAAATATCAGCTGCTCCATCTTTGTTCAGGCTACAAACTAAAATTTTAATTCCAATAAGCTGTTAGAGGATACACTAAGTGAAACTGTATTGATATTTTCTTTGTGTTTTTTGAGGTTTGTTTGTTTGTTTTTGCCTGATAGGAATAGTTGAATAATTTTTTACAAGCATACATGGAATACATTCGGTTATCAGTGAATAGCTCTCAGAAGATGGCAAATCTCACACATAGTTCAAGAGCTTTAGCCAACATCCTGCTTCTTCATAAGTGCACCTTGTTGAGGACTTTTGACATCTGTTCCTTGTTAGATCATAGCATAAGTTGAGAAACAGACTTCAGCACCTGTAGTTGAGATTTGCTCTTGTGCTGTCTCACTTCACTAAGCTCACAGTTTACCAAAGGTTGTATAAATAGGATAACCTGCCACGCACAGACTGGCAGTATATCTCTTAATAGTATCCTTAGTTTGTGATTTTCATGCATAGTGACAAGAGAGCAGCTGAAGCTCTTGGTCTCTAAAACCTAGCTAGGAAGCCACTCCAGGGAGATTCTTTACTGTAACAGCATTGGATCTTACTAGTCCCAGGTAGCCTATTGCCCCCACTTTACCTGAAACTGCCCACTGAAGGACCCCTGTCATTGGAGGAGAACATTCATATTATGGGTTGATTTTCTTTATTGTCAATTAAAAGTTAACTGTAGATTTTTCATTATGGCTTAATGTCATGTGAGTTCTGGAAAAAAAGTGAATGCAGCCAAGTGTGGTGGCACATTCCAGAATCTCAGCACTTAGGAAGCTGAGGCAGGAGAGTCACCTTAACTCAAGGCCCACTTAGATTACATACTGAGTTCACTGCTAACCTGGGATATAGTATAAGACCATGTCTCAAAACACAAAAACAATAACAAACAAAATTGAATTTTGACTAGCTTTCTAATGTATAGGTTAAGCTGGATCTTTAACATGAAATAACTAAAGTTTTACCAATTTTAATCTATTTACAGATTTTGTATAGCGAAATCAGCTCATATTGGAATGGTTTAATAGATACAATAAGTTTAATAAGGAACAATACTGTTTAATAACTTATTAAACAGTAAGTCAAATAGGTAACAATAAGATTTTCATATGTTTTGTAAATTGAAGTTTTAAGTCCCTACATCAGATCATAGTCAAAGCCTTTGATAGATTATTGCAAGATAGCATGTTTTATAACTAAATTTACAAAGTTGGCATTAAGTTCTTCAAAGAAATATATTTTAAATAATAAAAGCACAAAATATTCTTAAACTACACAGACTGTTGTACATGCTACTTTTAAAACTCAAAGTAACCATTTTGGGCTTTGGGGACCCTCTGGCAAAGGAGCTGTTACACAGAGTTGAGCCTAAAGATCCAGATACAATTTCAGAAGGATTGAAATTGCTGCCACTAATAGAAAATATTTGAAATCATCTTTTGTATAAATATTTTACTTAAAACCCATACAGATTTGTTGCTGACTTTGTTCAACTCCCTTCCTGTCCTTTCTCTTCTTTCAAGTGCCTTCCCTTCTCTATTCCTTTTCTCTCAAAATTTCTTTCCCTTCTTCCCTCCCTCCTTCCTATCCCTTCCCTTCCCCTTTCCCCTCTTCTCTTTATTCCTCTCCTCTCTTCTCCCTTCTACCTTGTCTTCTTTTTTTGTCCCCCTCTCCTTCCCTAATCTCTCCTTTCTTCCAGTCCTTTCCTCCCTTCTACTCTCTTCTTCTTTTTCCTCCTCTCCCCTTTCTTCCTGTCCTGTCTCCTCTTGCTTCCCCTTTCTCCTTTCCTTCTCTGCCCTCTTTCTCCATCCTCTACCTTTTCTTTCCCTCATCCACTCTCCCTCTTTTCTCTTCTGCTCCTCTTCCCCTTCTCTGATCTCTTCCTTCCATTTCCTTCTATTTCCCACTCCACCTCCCTCCCTCCTTCTCCTCTCACCTGTTCCTCCTTCTCTATCATTGGTCTGCTTACTCCTTCCTTTTCTGTTTTCATCCCTTCTCCTGTTTCTGTTCTTCCTCCTCCTGCTTCTCCACTCTTCCCCTACTCTCTTCAACCATTTCCTCTTCGCATCTACCCACCCTTCTCCCATTCTTCTCCCACCTCCTTTCTGTGTTTAGTCCCTTCTGCATCTCTCCTTTTCTATCTCTTCTTTTCCTCTTCTTCTCAGTATGGCCTGTCCAATCACCTTGTCTTCACCCTCTCCCTCTGCTCATCACATCTCCCTTCTCTACCCCTCTTCTTCTTTCTCCTCCACCCTCCCTTCCTATCCTCTTCCTCTCCCCTTCCCTCTACTCTCCCCTTTCTTTCTCCCCCTTTATTCTTTCCTCTCCCCTCTATACAAACTCTATATCTTCATGACTCTTCCATCTAGAGTTCTGGGAGTATGGGTGTGCTGTGCCATACCTTGTCTCCTACAGTTCTTAGGCACACAGAAAGACAAATATTAACACAAATGGTATGCAGTTACAGCAAGCTCAACTTGTAGAGGTAGAATTGTGAAATGACAGGTATTTTCCAGGTATTGTCACACCTGAAAGGGTGGACAGATAATACTAGTTAATAAGTGCTTATTTTATTATTACTTGGTATTAAATACCAAGCCAACCTAAAGATTACCCTGATAATCAGAAATCTTGCATCATTAAAAGAAATGTAATAAAATAATTCCTTTTGCTTATCCTCTGCTTGCCAATCAATTGCTTTTCATTGGCTAGTTAGGCCAATATACAGAAAAAAAATGAGGGTTTGTTTATAAATATGATCAAGATACACTGTATGAAAGTCTCAAAGAATTAATAAAGACATTAATTAAAATTTTTTGCCCTTGAATTTATTAAATTAAGACTATGATCTAACTGTAATTCCCATAGATTAGGTGCAATGATATAGTTAGAAATAATACTGAAATATTTCTAGAAATGACAGAACCAATCATAGGTTCCATTATTTGGAAAGTACAACTTGACCAGGAAGAGGAACTTTTATGGAGTAGTACAAACAGTTCTGGCTAGCTCTGAAATCTTGTGTAATCTCAGTGTGTGACCTTGTATAGTCTTTAGGGATTCCTTGACTGTAGGGCTGAAATGGTTATGGTCAGATTTTAAAGTGACTAAATGCCTTTGTTTCTAGAGTGCTTTTAAATTATGTTTTGCTCAGATGGACTTGATTCTGGTCTGCCTTCTACGAAGTCATCTACTATGTGATGATATTGCTTTTTCTGAATCTAGCATTATCACCATCACTTCTCTGTACCTTTGCTGTCTTTTCGCTGCTCTTATTATTGTGTACACAGTACTGCCTAGATTTTTCTTTAAATAGTCCAAACTACAAAAAAAGGAGAAAATTGAGATGACAGTATACAAATTTTCTTCCTTTTCTTTGTTTATACTATTTAGAGAAGAAACCTAGCTTTATTGAACCAGAATAGTATTAATAGTACTAATTAGTATTAATTAACAATATTAATCTCTGAATCCTCAGGAGAAATTTCTAGAAGGGCTTTGAAGGGAAGGGAAACTATATGGGGTGCTTGCTTTGGCAGCACATATACTAAAATTGGGAAACTATATGGGGAGCTACTTATTATACTTTATCAGGTCTTGGTTCATGTTTCTTGAATTAGGTGCTAGCCTATGAAAAGGGGAGCTTGAACATGCCCTTTCAGGATTCACTGGCATAATCTATGGCTGAAAACCTGACTTCATGACATACTTATTAATCATAGGCTGCAGACTCAGATGCCTGCATGGGACAGTTAACAAGGGAGGAAGATACGGGAGGGGAGATGTGGAGAATTGAAGGTATAATATTCTCCCATAAAAGTGTTTTTTACAAAGCCCCATTACTATCTCTTTGAGCAATAACTGTCCAGTTTAAAATCACTTAATAGATGAGAAAAGATCATCCTATAGAAAAGAATTACTTTGTTAAATGTTGAGACTTTCTCTTCTGCAAAGGTAGAGCAGATGTGTTTTTTTTTTCTTTTTCACACTAAATGCAACTAAAATGTAACTAAAATTGTCTATAAAATAACACAAGAACAACCTGAAGGGTAAAGTGATGAAGAAAAACTTGCTAGGAGTCTCAGTACCCAAAAATTGACAAGCTACAGAGCAGGAAAGAATTTATTTGGAAACTTAATACATGATAAACACTAGTATCTACAGTACATAAAGAATATTCAAAACCTATCAGTGAAAATGGACAAAAGACATAAAACCTTTCACTAAAGAGGTGCGTACAGATGGCAGAAAAACTCATGAAAAGTTCTTCAACATCATAATAGGAGTAAGAGGTAGACTTACAAATTAAAGGCACGAAGATATGCCAGTAAATACCTATCAGAGTGATTAGAATATTGCTCAGCAATAAAAAAGATACACTGATGTACTCCTCAACTGGGATGAATCTGAAAAATATTAACACTGACTATAAAAATGTAGTGCTGTTTTGTAAGACTAGAAAATGAAGCTCCCAAGACATACATTGGGAGACCATCTAGCCTGCTCCTGTCTTAAAGGCACTTCAGTTTCCTCTGGCTTACATGAGAATGCAAGTCAAGAAGGAAATAAACTTCTGTATGTATATGAAAAGGCTCATTTTAGGAGAGAAGCAAAAGGGAGACAGAGAGAAACATACCCACAAGACTTAGAGGCAAACCCCTCAGACCTAACCGTCCCCTGTCTGGACTACTGAGGATTTCCTTATAGCAGCTTAAGAACCATGTGAGCATAAAAACTGGTTATTACACTGTCCTTTTCCAAACTGTCTAGCTATTTTCTTCCAGTAGAAAAGACACTGACAAGATGTTCTGTAATCTGTTAGACTCAGTCTCATGACTTTGTTCTGCAGTAGGCACTATTTCCATAGAAAAACGATATTATGAAGCCTTCTTTCTAGTGTTCATCTCTTGCTGTCTGTCCATTTACCAAGCTTCAGGACAAATGCAAAAATACTACAGCATGCTGGAGTAGATGAGACAGAGGCAGAAAAGAAGTGACTTATCATATGTATAGGTCTTCTGCAGATAAGCACAGCTACTGAGTTCATGAGTATGATAGACACGACATGTCCAGGAAACAGCATTTCACATTTGTTCTCATCCTCTGCTTCTTACATTTTTTTCACCTACTCATCAGAATGTTCCCTGAGGCTTGGTGGCAGAAAGAGGGACTGTGGAAATAGATGTCCTATTCAGAGCCAAGCACTTAGTGTCTTATTCTCAGCACCCTGATCAGTTACACATCTTTCCATTGATCATTGTCCATTGCAAACAGAAGTTTCTCTAAGGTTGAGAGCAGCAAAGGTCTACGGGTATAAATATAAATACTTAGAAGGCAATTTGACAGCGTGAGCACTTAGGAAAGTGCTCACGAAAGTAGGTTCTACCTTGTGGCATATAAATTCACCCAGCCAAAGATTCCAGGAATGGAATTGCCTTCTGTGGAGCAGCCCTCAAACCTAATCAGAAAGCATTCAGTTACTCCATAACAGTCATGTCACTAAAAGCTAGCATAGCTTTCCTAGTAAACTGATACTTTAGTATGCTTGGTCCAGTACTAGGTAAGAACTTTGATGTCTTTTCTCCCCATGAGCCTGCGTAGCACCTTCCGGCACTAAGGAGGAAGATTCCTGTTGAGTTTGAGAATGATTTCTTATGTTTTAGCAATCAGAGTGTGTGATATTTTCAATAACCAAAGGTAGTGGCAATAGACTCTGCTACTTCGGTGACCTGGGACCTGAACAGTGAATTGAAGGGAGGTATTCTATGACTTGCACTGCTATTTTCAATTAATAACTCATCTCTTCTGGGAGCAAAAATTGTTCAGTCAGGTAGGATAATTCCATCTGGACTCTTTTCTTTTAAGTTGTTAATGCTGACACAGGGATGGCTTTTGTGGCCTGTGTTCCCATTCAGGTGATCTTCTCACTCTTTAGTCAATCCATAAAGCTAATAATCTGGGAATTGTCTTTTTTGCTGATATGTTTTTCATTCTGTATCCAGTGGTTGGATGCCAGCATTGTAGACTTCGCAGTGGAGTACAGAAACATTTAAGTCTTCCCCAGAATGTCACAGCTGTTTGTTTTTCTCAGGTTCTGTCCCCGTGTGCTGTTTCTTTTGACTAATGTTTTCCTACACAGAGGCTACATGTTCTGTTAGGATTCACAGGCCATAGGCAAAGGCATAATACTGCTGAAGTTAGTGTCTCTCAGTTAAATGAAGCATGATCTTACTTCTTCAGAGACAGCCACTCCCTCTTCCTCCTTGAAGCTTCCTCTTTGATGCCATGTCCATCAGAGAATGCACCCTGCTTCCAGTGGGGTAACCACATCATAGAGTTTAATTCTAGAGTTCCAATAAGAATTGAAAATTAATTTAAATAGAAATCAGGTTTAAGTTCTATGATGATCTCACTATTAAGATAGTGAGTTCAAAGTGAATAAAGTGTAATTAATAAAGAATTAAAAAAGATAGTGAGTTCATATGTGGCTAACCTGTGTTCTGGATCCCGTTTGGGTTTTGTGGGCTGCTCTGACAGCATATCTCCTTTTTTATATCACTGCTTTTGTATGGAAAATGTCTTCAGTTTTCTAAACAGAAACAACATTTAATTTTGAAATGCAGCTTGTTCACAATAGGTTGTGAAAGCACTTGCTAAAAAGGATTTGTGCTTAAAATAGTTGGAGGTGAGGGAGATACATTTCTTCAAATCAGATACTTCCCTGAAAATTATAGCACAAATAAATGTATTAGGATTGATATGATATTGAATGAAACTTTGTGGGTAAATATGTTATAGAGGATAATAATATTTCTAGGGACTAGGCTGTTGAATCTAATGGCATCTTTCACAGGTCAGTAAGAACATTTCCATGATGATGATGATGTTCTGTATTTTAACTAACAGGTTTTCAGGAGGCCTGAAACCAGGGTAAGGATATTTGGCTTTTGGCAGATGGGCCTCCTGCTTATATATGTCTGTGTTTTGTGGAACACTTGGTTTGTTTAGTGCTCTTTACCTTCTCACTGGTTTGTATGAGTCACTCTGATTGGTTTGCTCTGCTTTGTCACAGCTTTAAGTGTTCACTGCAAATGCTGTGTTTGCTACAGAGTTTTAAATGTGTGAAGGCAGGAGATTGTACTCTACTGACTTTCCTCATACCACCTGAATTCTGACCCAATGGATGTTCATGGCCATTGCTATATGGGTATAGGCCTACAGTAGCCTCTTTTTAAAAGATATGGTTTTAATTGAAACAGAATTATGTCATGTTCATCCCTCCTGTTCCTTCTTCCAGATCTTCCTAGACACTATCCCTTCAACCCCTCCCAAATCCCCTAACTTTTTTGGAGTTGACCGATCCTTTTTCTTTTATTGTTACGCTTATTGTTAAGTACACTTGTTGCGTGATTCACGCTAAAGAACTTAGCAACCAAAAAAGGGATTAGTTGTTTTCCTTCCAATCTAAGTAAGACTTTAGGTCATGCTTGTGATTGCATGTTCAATCCACAAAAGTGCTAATCTTGAAGCAAGATTTATAAAAGTCAGTGTTTTTAAAAATACATATTTAGTGAATTGTAGCTTATATTTATTTCCTCATAATTTTCCTTCGCTCTATTTCAGAATATTCATAAAGCAAGACAAAGATTGGTAATTTGCATGCATTTAACTCCTAGTGTCAGACATGAAAAAATTAACCTATTTTCATTAGATGGAAACAATCTGGATTTTCATAATATGATTAATTACTTCAGTTTGAAACTTGTAACCTTATTGAAGCCAGCGAAGTTATATAGAAATATCCAGATTAAGTAAAATTCTTGCTATATTAGTTGGTTTACCATCTTACTTTGTTTCCTTTGGTTTGTGAAAATCATTTTTTTTCATTGATTCACACAGCTAAATATTAGTATTTGGTTTATACTTGCATGGACTTTGAAATACTATAAGAATTTGCTTTGAATAATCACTAACTTTTCTGTTCTAACATTTAAAAATTACAGAATGAATTTTCTGTTTTAACACTTAAAAACAGAATGATTTTGTTTCTTTTGTATGTAAAAATTAGAAATTTTAATAAAACAGACTCCATTTAAAACCTACACTGCCTTGATAGGTAACTACAAATTCATATTGAGTATAAAAATGTGTTCTGTAGTTACTGGATTTTATTGACCAATTTGTAAACTTGTAAAGTAGTAAATTTATTCAAAGGTTTGCAACTTCTTCTGTTCCCATTAGAACCAATTTCATAAAGTAAAAATGTTAAGTTTTTAAATTGTCACTATTGGAATTTTATGCCAATTTAAAAGGGGGTTAATGATATTTTCATGTTAAGCATTCTTTTTACCACTTGTTAAGTTAATAATACGGTTTTTTTAAAAAGATAACCTAGAACCTCTGCTCAGATGTAGCTCAGTAACCAATTGGTTTCCCATAGTGAGGGGAACAAGGACTATTTCTAACAGGAACTCAATGACTGGCTCTTTGACCTCCCCACCCCCCAAGGGAGGAGCAGTCCTGTTAGGCCACAGAGGAGGGCTTTGCAGCCAGTCCTGAAGATACCTGATAAAACAGGATCAGATGAATGGGGAGGAGGTCCCCCCCCATCAGTGGACTTGGAAAGGGGCATGGTGGAGATGAGGGAGGGAGGGTGGGATTGGGAGGGAATGAGGGAGCGGGATACGGCTGGGATAGAGTTAATAAAATGTAACTGATAAGAAAAAAATAAAATTAAAAAAAGTAAAACCAGGGAAAAAAAGATAACCAATTCTATGAAGAAATTAAGAATAGCATACCTCTAAACAAATCGAATAAAATAAAGAATATGTGACATTTTAGTTTTTTCTTTGAATCATGCTTTTGATACTGTAGTTAGAAATATTTGATGTGATATTGATTGCAAGTCACAGCAATTAGTAATAAGAAATATACTAGTACACATGTATATATATGTATGTATGTATTTATTATATATAAAATCTTGAGCATTTGTTATGTGCATGTATACAATGAAATTTACCCCTGGGTAATGCAATAATCCTTTAGAATATGCAAATATTTACTCTCTATTTAAAGTGCTCATATATGAACTGCATTTGTATTTTTGCTTGACTTTGCCCTCTATGTGGTTTCTGTGGTGTGCCTTATTTTCTATGAGCACATGATGTGCCCATTATATTCTTTGCTATTTGCTATGGTGTTGCTTACTTTTATAAACACAGTGCATTGTTTGAAATGAAGTTTGTTTGCTTTTCATTTTTCTATCCCAACACAAACACAGAAAATAGACACTACATTGTAGGCTAACAATTTCTTAGATAGTCCACATGTTATTTCCTTAATTCAAAGGGGGCAAGTGTGGTGATTTGCAAAGCCATAAAAGGTTTGTCAACTTTTACATGCTTACTGTCTCTTAAAAAAGAAATTCTGTCCTTTCACCTGTCTGTTTGCACGTGTTTCTCTTTCTCTTTTCTGCCCTTTCTTGTCCATGCACCTGGTGCTGTGCAGGAGATAAAGGAAGAACACAATGGCTACCCTTTTGAAGCTGAAGCTGATCAGGTGGCAAGTTCTACATGTTCATCTCTTTGTAGCTACAGACTGTGTATCTAGAAGCCATTTCATACTAGAAATCTAGGCAATAAGCAAAACTTTCCAGTTGCTTTTACCACCGTAATAGTTCTTCCCGAGAAGGGGAGGAGGGCCTCCCTTATCAGTGGACTAGGGGTGAGGCGTAGGCGGAGAAGAGGGAGGGTGAGTGGGATTGAGAGGAGACTAGGGAAGGGGCCACAGTCGGGATACAAAGTGAATAAATTGTAACAAATGATAATAAAAACAAAACAAAAAGTAGTTCTTCCGTGTCCGTTATGTAGATTCCATTATGACATTATTTGCAAATGGTTTATCCAACATTTTGTCACCTAGAAATTGGTTCATCCACACTACTTGGTTTCCCAAGACAGGTTTACATGACCTCCACCACTGTAAGAGTATGAAATGCTTTTAACAAGGACCTAGAGAGGTAAACACAAATGCCACAGGTTTGTTTAAAAAAAAAAATAAGGGTGTGAACTTTTCTTTACTCAAAGTTGCCTGGTAGGGCTTGAGCTGTTGTATACACCTTTAATCTCAGCACTCTGGAAGCAGAGGTAGGCAGATATCTGAGTTCCAGGACAGCCAGGGCTATACAGAGAAACCCCATCTTGAAAAATCAAAACAAAAAGCAGTCTGCTCTTCCAATTCCAAGCACCCACATGGCAGCTCACAACTGTCTGTGGTTCTTGGTGATCCAATGCCCTCTTCTGGCCATGTGGTGCATATATATACACATGTAGGCAGAACACTTGTACAAATAAAATATAGAAATAGAAATTTAAACTTATATTGTGTATGCCTAACACACCACATGGTATTTTGTATTTGTGGAATGAGCATGTGTATTTTTTTGAATCAGAATTTAGAATCTTACTTTTTACCTCATACTTTCAGATGTTCTCCAGATTCATGAAGCAGCAGGGCATTTCCTGCTATTGATGTAGAAACCAAATAGGAGAATCCTGTAAAAAGCAGCTCTTTGGGGGTAACTGGCATGCCCCAGGTGCTCAGGCTTGCCTTTGTCCTCCATCACCTGTGCAGAACCACCTCCCTTCATTGACCCCAGAAACATCTTTTAGGACTCAATTACAAAATCACTACTTTGGGCATGCAGCTGTTACATAAGCTGTTGACCTGGAAGTTTAGAGACGTGCTTACCAAAAACAGTGAAAAGGTCAGAGTCGTCTGGGTAGGTTAGATCCCTCAAGGACAAAGTCAGATAGACATTCAGAATCAAAGGTTGAGATGACCTCATAAAGAATTGCTCAGCTGGGCAACATTATGAACAGAAGCACCAAGACCTCAAATTTACTCCATCTTTTAGTTCTGCTGCACATAGGTTGGATAAATCAAGGGTCAAATCATGTCCTGTGCAACCTTGTAGTTGCAGTAAAAGCTTAATATAGCATAAATGTGAGTCTCATCTCCTAACACAGGTATAAAAGGGAATCTACTGTGCTCACCAAAAAAAAAAAAAAAAAACTTCTTTTCTCTCCTGGCTTCCCGTGTTAGAGCTAAATGTGTTACTTTTTCTTAGGGAAGAATCTGAAGCATTGGGGTCTTTTATTTGTGTTATTGTGATAGATTCTTTTTCATCATTGAAAGTCATGTCCCATACTTAATGATCATTAGTGAAAGTTTTGTCCACTGTGTTCACCAACACATTCATTCCTCATAGAAATGTGCAGGCTTTTCCAGTCATATTTGACTATGAATATGGTACAAGAAGGGAACCAGTTATTCCTTACTCTTTATCTTGAGAGCCTTGTGTATTCTTCCTGGGTTTCATTGACTACCCCAGCCTGGAAGTCTTGAACATGTTTGATGTGGCTTGCTCTAAAGCTCAACAGGCATCTTCTCATCCCAGATCCCCTACAGATGCTAGTGATTAGAGAAGCTTACTTTCATAAATGGTTCCAAAATAATTTATCCTCGGTTATTTTTAAATATGTTATGAAATCTCAGTCTATATACTTTAGTATTTGCTCATTAAAATAAGTTTTAACAATGTAACATTTGAAATAATTTACAACTGACATTTTTTAAAGTAGCTTTCTCACTTGGTAATTATGTCATAAAATTAGTCACTAGTTCAGATAGTAAGTTAAAACAGGCCTTTAAATTAAAGCTCCTGTTAAGATTGTTGGTATTTAGTCTTTATAAAATAAATAGCTTAAAAGTATATGTATTGGTTTATGCTTTATTGAATAAAAAGTATATTCCTGAAGGAATCTTTAAATAGGGCTGAGGGTGGAGCTCAGTGATACACAGTGACCAAAACAAGTATAATGAAATGACTGTAAAATTGAACATGAAATGGAAAAAGAAAGTCAAGTTTATATGAAAGTCTTAAATGTAATGTTAAGATGGGTTTGTGACTTAGTGATAGATTACCTGCTTGGCATGTACAGTATCCTAGGTTTGATCCCTTGTACTATAAAATAAAAAAAATTATTACATAAATTTTTGGTTGAAAATGTCGTAACCAATCTGTTCTAAAAATTCAAATTGAATGTATTGTTTGTATATATGATTTTTAACCGTACACTTTTTGATAAGGAAAGGATGGACCATGTAATCTTCTGCCTTCTTGGTAGAAGGGACATACATACCATACCATTGATCAACATTGCCCACCTGTTTTCTGATGACTGTTAATGCCCTCCCAAGTGTTAACAGTTCTTTCTTAAAAAGCAATTCCTGAGTAAGGAGGTATGAGATATGTGTTGTATTCTATCGCCCTCTTGCTGATTTGGTGTGCATTAACACACTAAAGCCTAGCTTGCTTTAAAAAAAAAAGTCTCATTTGTCTTACCTAACACCATTTCCCTGCTTTATTTTTTTTAAGCCTGTTTACATCTTTTGGTAAATTAATATTCTATGAAATACAGCTTGGTAATTGCTGGGGTTTTTATTACCTTATTCTTATCTGTGAACCACCTTTTTATCACCTTATTCTTATTTATTTATACCCGAGAAAATAATTGGTTTCTTTAGTAGCAACTCACACGGTAGCAGTACCTTGGAATATGCCTCAAATTTAGGCTTCAGTCTCAGCTTTGTAGTTCAAGAACTCCATTTTCTGCTCTCCTCTGAGTTATCTGACACCATACAATGAAACTTAGAAGAAGCTGGTTCCAGGTTACAATGTCAGCCTGATCATAAAAATATGGGCATGAAGTGCCTAGGCATCCTAGGCAATATTCTTTTAGCAACATTGTAGCCAGCAAACCTAGTAACACATTAGCAGTTTTCTTTAAAAGTGTGAAATTAGTTATGAAAACGAATTGGCCTCAAGAATGTGGATGAATATATCCTGACCCACAGTATATACAGTTTAATACAGATTGAGTATTCTTTATCTCAAATGTGTGGCACACAGGTTCCAAATTTTGGAATTTTTCATATTTTGGAGTCTTGGATGAGACTCAAATCTACACATGAATTTTGTGTGTCTTCTATACCTTACACACATAAACTAGAGGAAATTTTATGCAATACTTTTTAGTGTGTGTGTTCTTGTGTTCTTATCTGCCAGTATAATCCTATAGCCTAGAATGAGTGAACAGTGATATTCCCATTTTTATGCTCCCTGTTATATGCTCACACACACACACACAATGATATATATGCACACACACATAAACACATGCACACACACACTTACACTTCTAGTGTTTCTATTTGTTAGTTTCATACTCGGAAGGTAACATATTTTTTCTGACCTTATTTCCAAATTTGATGGCACCTTGCAATAGCCTCTCTGTCTATAGTGATTACAGTATCTATCTGTCCTGTCAATCCATTTCTGTATTAATGCTTTCTAACTGTTAAATGTAAATATGTTGTAACAATTTGCTAGAATATGCAGCATGATGTCCTGTGGTGCTGAGCTTTGAAATTATCTTTTAAGGGGAGAGAGCATATATTTTTGCAAGCTTGTGTAGCCTTATTAAGAGATCCCAGAATACCAGCATTTTCCTCAGTATACAGATGGAAAGTGAGATTTATTCCTGTTTGGTTTCTTTCCAGGCTTTGAGAGATGGAAATAAACTGGCACAGATGGAAGAAGCTCCACTTTTTCCAGGAGAATCAATTAAGGCCATTGGTAAGTTTAATATGTACCATTTGCTTATAGGAATCTAAAACATGAAGTGGTACTTTCTGAGCATAGGTGATGTGTATGTTGGAGATCAGCTAGACAGATTTAATTAGGGGAAAGAGATTGGAGGACTAGGGCTTTTTATTCTTATTGGCATCATTCTGATCTTAAAAGATGGAAGAAATTAGAAGATCCAGTTAAGTATTTACCAAAAGAAAAGGAGCCTGCCTGTACCTCATGAAATAAGAGCTGAATGGACACCAAGTGTAATGCTGGCTCACTGCTTTGATGGACTGTTTCACCATAAAGAAATTTATCAGCAGAAGCCCTCAATAGCATGTTTTAACATGGCATGTACTACTTTTGCAGACAGTAAGCTGCAGAGTTAAAGTGTTCAATATGGAAAGGGATGAATCACTTTACTTTTATCAGTAGGTCAGAGTCCACTTAGAAGAGATTAGAGCTAGTCTAGGTGACTGATTTATCACATTGTACTTCAGACTCCCAGATGTATTATAAGGAGTGCTGTAAAGCTCACAGCTGTATTAGTAAGAAGGCTTCAGGTATCTCTCTGTGGTCCTGGTGCCCATTCTTTCCTGTTTGTATCTCTTTTTATTCTGGAAATGGAGCTTTGGGAGATAGAGGCTGTAACATAGCCTCACTTCTCTCCCAGTTATTGGAAATATTTTACAGTTACATGTTAGGAACATCTGCACATCCTTAAGCTTTGTTAAATATGCTTTAAATTCCTCCAGGGACTTGCAAAGGGTAAGTAAATTAACCCTTACTATTAAATAAAATATGCTCCTGGAGGCAAAGTATTAGGTAGGCCATTGTAAAGTAAAATACTCCCTATTGAGTATTATTTTAGAACAGGCAGAATTTTGACATAGTATATACTTGGGAAGCCATTGTCACTCTTATGGTAATGAACTTGTCAAAACCCCTAACAGTAGTTTTCCTTTATCATCCCCTTTCATTTCTCCTATCCATTCCTCTATGCCCCAAAACTCTAGACTACTTTATATTTTCTAGTATTTGCCAGAAGTGAAATTATAGTATTTTTTGCTGAACTTCTTTCAATCAAATAATTGTTCTGATATTCAACCACATTGTGACATCAGTTAGCCATCATCCATTTTTATTGCTGAGTACTATTTTATAAAAAGTTGCTTCTGTATGTTGGTGGATATTTGGGTTGTTTCTGTTGCTTTTGTCTTACAAATAAAATTGTTATGACCATTTTTACAAAAGCCTTTTTAAAAGTTTACTTTCTCTTAGATAAATGCCTAAGGAATAGAACAGGCCATTTAACATAAGAAACTGATGTATTAGTATACATCCAGCAGTGCAGGAGTGTTCTGGTTCTTTCTTTCTGGTCTGGATGCCTTTACTTGTTTTTCTTTTTTTAAATTTTAATTAATTACAGTTTATTCCCTTTATATCCCAGTTGTCCCTCCTTCCCTCAACCTCTCCCAATCCCACCCTCCCTCCTTCCTCTATCCCCTTCTCCAGTCCAATGATAGGGGAGGTCCTCCTCCCTTTCCATCTGACCCAAGTCTAGCAGGTCTCATCAGGACTGACTTCTTTGTCTTCCTCTGTGGACTAGTAAGGCAGCTTCTCCCTCATGGGGAGGTGATCCAAGAGCCAGCCCATGAGTTCATGTCAGAGAAAGTCACTGTTCTTATTATTGGGGAACCCTCTTGGACACTGAGCTGCAATGGGCTACTTCTGTGCAGGGTTTTTAAGTTAACTCCATTCATGGTTCTTGTTTGATTTATCAGTCTCAGAAAAGAACCCTGTGCCTAGATTTTTTGGTTCTGTTGCTCTCCTTGTGGAGTTCCTGTTCCCTCTAGGTCTCCCCATTCTTTTATAAGATTCCCTGCACTCTGCCCAAAGTTTGTCTATGAATCTCAGCATATGTTTTGATACCCTGCTGGACAGAGAATTCTCAATAAAGGAACATCAAATGGAAGAGAAACACCTAAAGAAATGCTCAAAATCCTTAGTCACCAGGGAAATGCAAATCAAAACGACCCTGAGATTTCACCTTACACCCATCAGAATGGCTAAGATAAAAAGCTCAAGTGACAACACATGCTGTGGAGGATGTGGAGAAATGGGAACCCTCCTCCATTGCTGGTGGGAATGTAAACTTGTACAACCACTTTGGAAATCAACCTGGTGCTTTCTCAGACAGTTAGGAATAGTGCTTCCTCAAGACCCAGCTATACCACTTCTAGGCATATATCCAAAAGATGCTCAAGTATACAACAAGGACATTTGCTCAGCATGTTTGTAGCAGCTTTATTTGTTTTTTTTATCTTTTTTAATTAATTAATTTATTTATTTTTAATTAATTTTTATTATTAGTTATATTTTATTAACTCTGTATCCCAGCTGTATCCTGCTCCCTCATTCCCTCCCAATCCCACCCTCCCTCCCTCATCTCCTCCCTGCCACTTTCCAAGTCCATTTATTGGGGAAAACCTCCTCCCCTTTCATCTGGCCCTGTTTTATCAGATATCTTCAGGACTGGCTGCAAAGTCCTCCTCTGTGGCCTAGGAGAACTGCTCCTCCCTTGGGGGTGGGGAGGTCAAAGAGCCTGCCATTGAGTTCCTGTTAGAAATAGTCCCTGTTCCCCTTACTATGGGAAACCAATTGGTTACTGAGCTACCACGGGCTACACCTGAGCAGAGGTTCTAGGTTATATCCATATATGGTCCTTGGTGGAGTGTCAGACTTAGAAAAGACCCCTGTGCCCAGATATATTTGGTCCTTGTGCAGCTTTATTTATAATAGCCAGAAGCTAGAAACAACCCAGATGTCCCTCAGTTGAGAAAAAAATACAGAAATTGTGGTACATTTACAGAATGGAATACTACTCATCAATTAAAAACAAAGAAATCATGAAATGTGCAGGCAAATGGCAGGATCTAGAAAAGATCATCCTGAGCGAGCTATACCAGAAGCAGAAAGACACACATGGTATATACTCACTTATAAGTGGATATTATACATATAATATAGGATAATCATACTAAAATCTGTACACCTAAGGAAGCTAATCAAGGTGGAGGACCCTGGGTAAGATGCTCAATCTTCATTCAGAAAGGCAAATGAGACAGACATCGGAAGAAGGAGGAAACAGGGAACAGGACAGAAGCCTATCACAGAGAGCCTCTGAAAGACTCCACCCAGCAGGGTATCAAAACTTATGCTTTTCTTTGTATAAACCCTCAGTATGAAGTTAAGGAGAAATGGTAAGAGTAGACATTCTTATTCCTAATGTGGGGAAAGTGTTCAGATTTTCTAAAATTTAGATATTTAGATATCTAAAAATTTAGATATGATGTTGGCTGTAGGTAGTTGCTGCCCTTTATCAGAATATCAGAGAACTTTCTGCTCTCACTTTTTTAAGAATGGTCGTCAGGATTTGAATTTTGTGAAATGCATTTTTTGTATTAATGTTATTTTTCTTTAACCTATAATATGGCAGATTGCATCAATTAATTTTGAATGTTTAGTGAACACAATCCCAGTACGAAGTATTTCTTTTCATGTACTATCTTTTTATGGATTGTTAGGTTTAATATATTAGAATTGCATTTAGGAGTGTTTCATATGTATTTATGATAGACAGTGGCCTGTAGTTTTCTTTTCTTGTAATGGCTTTTCAGTTTTTGGTATCAGTAATACTAACTTCATAATGAATTGGAAATTATTCTCTTTCAGCTTTTGTTTTGGAAAGAATTTCTTTACTGTTTGCAATTTGTAGTTTACCCATGAAACCACCTGGACTGAGACTTTTCTTTGTGGAAATGTCTTAATGATTTAATGTATTGTCTTCAGTAGCTGATAGATAATTTATTTTGACTTTTTTTTTTTTTTACCATGCAAGCTTAGGTAGTTCACATCTTTCCAGAATTCATTCATTTAATTGGAGCTGTGAAATTCCTTATCAGCATGTTACTTATCATACCCTATTAGTGTCTGTACAGTTGGTGACATGGCCTTTCACATGTCCTGCATTTGTAATATACATGCTTTCTCTCTCCTTTCTTCCTGATAAATCTTGCTGGAAGGTTTGTCAGTTGTATTGATTGTTCTCAAAGAATTAGTTTTTAGTTTCATTGTTGTATTTGTTTTCTATTTAATTTGTTTATACTAATATCTTTATTGCTCCTTATCATTTGCTCACTTTGTGTTCCATTCCCTTTTCTTCCAGTCTTTGTTTAAGTGGGCAAATGTGGTCATTGATTTGAGATCTTTGCTGTCCTCTAGTTTGGATGTTTGGATTTTCCTCTAGTCACTGGTTTCTACCACCTCATGAACTATGATTTAGTGTTTTCATTTTCATGACATTTAATGCTGTTGATTTCTTCTTTGACCCTCAGATTACTTAAGAGTATGTTGTTCATATCAGCATTCAGGAATAGAGGCAGAAGGACCAGGAGTCCAAGTTCATCTACAACTATATAATTTGAGGTCAGCTCATGCTAGAAAATACAAAACAAACAAACAAAAAACACCACCACCAACAACAAAATCAATGTGTTGTTTAATTTTTGCATATTCATGAATTTCTCAAATGCTTTTCTGTTGTTGATTTCTAAGTTTACTCCCATGCTTTGTTCTTATTGATCTTTTATTTTCCTTTTAATTTCTCATCTAATTTCATAGTCTATATCCGTAGATACACAAGTATACACACAATAAAATCTAGTATCTGCATATCATAGAAAGTATGCAAAATTTGTGTGTTTCTGAGTCTAGATTATTTTACTTAACACCAGTTGCATTCATTTTTCTGTAAATATGATGAATTTATCTTTTTTATGTTAAATACAGTACCATTGTATGTATGTGGCATATTTTCATTCATTCATTTTTCTATGTAGTGTGGGTTTCTTTTGAGCCACATATAGTTGAGATCTTGTTTTTGTCCACAATCTTACAATCTGTACCTTGTATTTGGGATGTTGGGTTCATTAACATGTTATATTAATATAATTAATTTTAAATTGATCATCTTATTGTTTTCTTTTTGTCTCATTTAGTTCTTGCTGTCTCCTTTGTCTTTTTGGTCATGTTTTGGTTTAATTGAGTACTCTTTCTTTCTTTCTTTCTTTCTTTCTTTCTTTCTTTCTTTCTTTCTTTCTTTCTTTCTTTCTTTCTTTCTTTCTTACAGTGCTGAGGACTGAACTGAGAGCCTAAATGCTTGTCAGGCAAGCATCCTGCCACTGAGATCTATCCTCATTAATTAAATGAGTACTTTCTCAGATAGCAATTTATCTCCTCTGTCTGTTTACTTGCTACATTTATTTTATTTTATTCTTTGCTTTACATGATTTCTATGTTATATTTTCAAATCCCTTACACATTTTTTTTTGAGACAGAATCTCACTATGTAGTCCTGGCTGGCCTAGAACTTTCTATTTTGACTAGACTAGCCTTGAACTCACAGAGATCCACCATGGCTGCCTTCACAGTACTGAGATTTACTGTGTAGGCTATCATTACCATACTCTGTACAGCTTTATACTTCTCTATGTGTAGGGTAAGAACTGTACAAGTGTATACTCTCATGTGTCCTCTCCAGCTTTTGTTATTGTTATCATTCATTTTACATGTATGTATGCTATAAACCCACAGAGTATTGATTTTATTTTTATCTTTTAATTATAACATACTAATGATGCCTTGACATTGTATAAATACTTTTATTGGTACATTCCCTGCAACTAGTCTGGCTGGTTTTGAGACCCTCTACTCTCACTGCACTCTGATGAAGCCAAAGTAACAATCAATTCACCACTCTCTTTTCCCTCTTTTCCTCCCCTTCCCCATCTGTTTCCCTGACTTGAGTGAAAGTGAGTTTTAAGTCCATACCTGTGTGTTCATATCATTATAGAAGCATTTATCAAACCAAAATATATTGGTTATTTCTATGTTTCAAACCTTACATATTCTCAGCTGCTTATGAGAGGGACTGTGTCTAATTCTATTATACCCAGAATTCCAGCAACAGAAGACAGTCAATACATAAAATTATAGAAAAAAAAAAAAAACAGTGCTTTGACAGTTGGCTGAATCATTCTACTATCATGACTTATGTCTATAGCTATGTATGTTCTGGTAACTCCAACATTGTAGAGAATGCTTTAAAGGTGCACAATCTTTGACAGATATGTGTCTTTTAACATTCACAGGAATTAAATATGCTGTGAACACTTGACTGATAACAAACAGAAAGTTAACTTTGATAAGGAATTTTTGTTTTGAAACAGAGTCTCAATATGGCTGTTCTGGAACTCACTATGTAGACCAGGTTGGCTTGAACTCACAAATCCTCCTGCCTCTGCCTCCCAAGTGCTGGTTAAGATTAAAGGCATGCACTGCTGTATCTGTAAGGAATTTTAAACAAGCTCTTCTCCTATCATCTAACAAGCCTGGGGTCTCAGGCCCTGAGCTATATTCTCAGCCTATGAAAGAAGTCTTTTTTTTTTTACTTCAATGAAAGTGTATAAGTTTTCTTCAACTGCAATGCAGTTTCTACTCAGTGTTTGACTTTTATTAGTTTTATTCTGTACCAATTTATAGGATGATAGCCCAGTGTCTTCCGAGTATAATTAATAATTTGAGCATTATCAACTTTTCAGCCAGGGGAAAATATTAACTACCTGGAAATTACAAAAGGAAAAAAAATAAACATACTATAAGGCATTTTAGCTTAAAACATCATTAAATAGCAAATCAGAGTGTTGGAACTATATCAGAAGACTATTCATCTATGTCGTTATGTAAAATAATAACTGATATAATTGTTTAAGTTTTTAAATCCCTAGAAGACTGGATCACGCATATGTATTTGGAAATTCATACTGGAAGTTACTGAAGTACAAGTCTGTAAGTCATTGCTACTTTGGTTTTCTTCTTTTAGTGAAAGATGTCATGTATATTTGTCCATTTATGGGAGCAGTGAGTGGAACCCTTACAGTGACGGACTTTAAAATGTACTTCAAAAATGTAGAAAGGGTAAGTTTTTTTTAAAGTATGCTTTGTTTTTAAAATCTTATGAATAGTAAAAGAAGAAAGTAAAAAGCCTCACGAATTCCCATTATCGGGACACTACAAGACAGTGAATTTGAAGAGAATTTGGTTCTTAAAAAATTGTTAAAGTTGTACTTAGACTTGGAGGAGAAGTGTCACTGTGGTCTGGGTATAGACCTTCTGAGTTACACTATCTCTTTGATGCCAGCTTTTTAGTAAACAAACATATGTTAGAGGTCTGAAGCAATTTAAAGCATGAAAACTCCATTGACTGACTTTGATAGGTGTTTAATTTTCAAACCCAGGACCCACATTTCATCCTTGATGTTCCCCTTGGAGTGATCAGCAGAGTTGAGAAGATTGGTGCACAGAGCCATGGGGACAATTCGTGTGGTATAGAGATTGTATGCAAGGTAGGCTGCAGACGCAGTGAGCACTGCCATGAGGCAGTCTACTCTGAGCTCTTTGTGGACTCATGACACTTATGGTCTTTGGAACAATTTGTACTATTTTTAGGGCAATGACTCCTTCAAATCTTATATTAGTGAATACAAATCACTGTGCAACTCATAAAAACAGTCCATTTTGAACGCTGAAATGATTCTAGTTAACATGACTGCAATCTAAGTGCTGGCATTATTTGTCATATCTCCGAGAAACCAAATGGAAAGTAGAATTCAATACTCTTTCTCACAGTTTGCTGTTTTAGAAGTACCTTTTAACATGGTAGATGGTCAAAGCCTTCTCCAAAGGAACAGCCTGTTCTAGAAATCTTGTGATTCAAGCTTCTTGGCTATGTTGGAAATTTCTACCTTGAATTAGGCTCATTTTTTCCCCTTTTCCCTTCCTTCAAGAAATTAGATAGCAGTGTGTGGGATAACTTCAATGATGGTCACCAAACCTAGTGACTTTAAATCTTATAAGACAGTATACTAAAAACTAACCTAATGTATCCTGCCTGTACATTTGTCAAGATCTCTTCCAAACTTGGAATTTGGATTACTACATAATCTTTTTGCTTTGCTGGTATATGTGGACATCTCCATTCCTGGTTGGCTCAAGCACACAGTCTAGACTCACTGTTGGCCCTGCATGGTATTTGTTTCCCGTTCCTAGAAAATGTTCTACCTGTGGAACAATGGCAAACAGCTGCTTCGGAAGGAAATCAACAACCATGTAGAGTCTACAGTGAATTGAATATATCTTTGGTTTTTGAATGCTGTCATTCCCCTTGTAACTCCCCCCTACCCCAGTGAAGAGACAATAGAAGCCAGGGATTTATGAATGCTAGACAAGTGATCTAGCATTGTCTCCAGCCCTTTCTGATAACTCTTTGGGGGCTTCTTACTCTCAGGCTATAGGAAGTACTCTTGTCTGTAGTTTCTCTCCCCTCATTCTTGCCTCCCATTTTCTGCTGTCTGTCCCATAATGCTCATGTTTGTTACATGCCTATTTCCTCACAAATACTTAAGTCAATACATCTTAATCCCTCCCACTTCCTACTCCTTTCCTGAGTACTGTGCGAATCTGCCAGCGGGCTCCAGTAGTAGAGCCTAGAGCTTCTCACATTCTAAGCACATATTCTAACACTAAGCTACATGCCACACTCATTGTACAACCTCTTCCACAGTTTAGAATGCTTTTCCTCCCCTCTGATCATTCTAAACAGCAAGTGAGTTACCAGGATGCTTGCAAGGCCAGTGTGGCTTCAAAAAGCAGGCATGTCAGGAAACAATGCTACCGTGCCACTTTTATGTATTTTGTGTTATTTTTAAGGTATTTTGTGGCTGGCATGGATATTTGCTGACAGCTAATTTAAATACTTTGTAGCCTAGAATTACAAAGACCAGGCTCCCAACTCATGCCTGAGAACATCACAAGGTGTGGGGGTTTATTTTTTATTGATTTTTGTTGTTGTTAGATTTTTGTTTACTTGTTTTCACATCATCAGTTTTCACTGGGTAGCCTCGGAAGGCCTGAAACTCACTATGTAGACAGAGGCTGGCCTTAAACTCACAGATATCTGCCTGCCTCAGCTTTCTGATTGCTTGAATTAAAGGCATGTTCTAGCAAACCTGGCTTATTTTATTATTATTTTTATATGTGTAGGTGTTTTGCCTGGTGTCTGTGGAGGCCAAAAGAGGGCATCAAATCAGCTCCTCTACAAATGTCATCTGCCATGTGGGCGCTGGGAATTGAACTTGGATACCTCTGGAAGAACAGCCAGTACTCTTAACCACTGAGTCATCTTTCTAACCTGGGTTTCATTTTTTACAAGATGATTCATAATTCCAAAATGCAAAAGCTGTATATAATAAAATGTCGTCTTTCTGTCCCACTCTTCATTTCCTGTAGACAGTTACCAATACCTAATGTAACACTGCACAGATATCTTGTACATGGAAACATTTCTTTGAAAGAAACAATGAGCCATGATATGGCACACACCTTTACTAAAAGAACTTGGGAGACAGAGGCAGACAAATCTCTGTGAATTCATGGCTGGCCTGGTCTACATAGCAAGCTCCAGGGCAGCCAAGGTGGTATAGTGAGACCTTGTCTCAAAAAAGGGCGCAGGAAGGAAGGCAATGATAGTGTGTTTATATGGCTCTGCACCTTTATTTCCTTGGGACTGTGTATCTTATAATTCTTTTTGGACCAGTGCATATAGAACTGCAGTTTCTTTTTAACAGTCTTTAGCTGCCCTGTATATTATTCAGCTACAGCCCCTACTGATGGGCATTTGGGTTATTGCCACTCTTTTGATATTATAAGTATCACAATAAGTTTACTCCCCAAGCTGCTATTTCTTTGTAATTATATTTATTTTCAAATTGCATTTGATGTTAAAGAAGAATGATATATATATATTACATATATGTATGTATATATAGGTTAGTTGAGAGGAGCAGAATTTTATTGGGAAGGAATGCTTAAAATGCTGTTACAGTAGGAAATCACACTATTAAGAGCTAGGTTTGATGCACCAGCTCCTGCTAACTTGTACTTGAGCATTTGGCCATCAGCTTGCATTGGGACAAAGGAGGGCATTTTATCAAAGGAGATACTAAGACTCAAAGCCAAACTTTAGGCAGAGTACTGGAAACCTTATGGAAGAAGGGGGAGCTAGAAAGACCTGGAGGGGACAGGAACTCCACAAGGAGAGCAACAGAGCCAAAAAAAACCTGGGCCCAGGGAGTCCAGCAGAGACCAATACTCCAACCAAGGACCTTGTATGGACAGGGCCTAGACCCCCTGTTCAAAAGAAGCCCATAGGTTTCTCAGTTTCCAAGTGGGTTCCCTAGTAAAGCATACAGGGGCTGTCTCTGACATGAACTCAGTGGCCGCTCTTTGATCATCTACCCCAGAGGGGTTCAGCCTTGCCAGGCCACAGAGGAAGATTATGCAGCTAGGAAGATGATGAGACCTGATAGGCAGAGTCAGATAGAAGTGGAGGAGGTCCTCCCCTATCAGGGGACTAGGAAAAGGGCATAAGGGGAGAAGAGGGAGGGTAGGCAGGACTGGGGGGAGAAGAGGGAGGGGGATGTAGTGGGGAAACAAAGTGAATAAATTCAAATAAATAAATAGATAAATAAAAGCAGTCTTAAGAAACAACATTTAGTAAGAGGAGAAGAATGAGGGTGGTGTAGCGGGGATACAAAGTGACTAAATTGCGATAGATAGATAGATAGATAGATAGATAGATAGATAGATAGATAGATAGATAGACAGACAGACAGACAATGTAGACTTAAGAAACAACATTTGGTAAGAGGACATTGCCAAGAGCTGCAATCTCTTCATGGTACAGATTACTTTCAGTGACTACATAGGAGAAAGCATCTGCAATACTAATTTTTCATGGATGAAGTGAGTTCTGTAGTTGGCTTTTTCAGCAGCTTAACATGAACACTGAATTCTATGCATATTGTTGGTTGGTGAGTGCACAGAATGTGATTGCACCTCTTTTGCATACAAACCTTTTTCTTAATAGTTTGTTGAACCACACACATCCCCAAACATCCCCTTTATTCCAGTTTTCTTAATTTTTCAAATCTCACTGGAAGTATTTTTGTTAATTTGTCTTCTGTTAGTTAGAGAAATATAAAGTACAAAATGAGAGTTATATAAAAATCTTATATGTATGTCAGGGTATCTGGCTAATAGGTGCTCAATCCATGTTGAATGAGTTTTGCTCATTGTTTATTAGGATATGAGGAACCTAAGACTGGCGTATAAGCAAGAAGAACAGCGAAAACTTGGCATATTTGAAAACCTCAATAAGCATGCTTTTCCTCTTTCCAATGGGCAGGTAAGTACAACAAAGTAAACCTTTCCTGCATATATAAGTATCTAATAATCCCGTATTTATACATTCCTTGAATTTGATTCTATCTCTTTTCTGTGTTGCTACTAAATAAAATATCTGTGGACTTGAAGAGGGGCATAGAAAGAGATGAGGGAGGGAGGGTGGGATTGGGAGGGGATTAGGGAGGGGTATACAGCTGCGATACAAAGTGAATAAGCTGTAAGTAATATAAAAAATAAAAATTTCATTAAAAATACTTGGATTCTATTTTTTTTCTGTGTAATGATTAAGAAAAGCTTCTAGTCAGGGAGTGGTAGTATATGCCTTTAATCCTAGCACTTGGGAAGCAGATGCTGGCAGATCTCTGTGAGTTCAAGACCAGCCTGATCTACAAAGGGAGTCTAAGGTAGGAAAGAAAGAAAGAAAGAAAGAAAGAAAGAAAGAAAGAAAGAAAGAAA